TTCAAAAATCCTCCATCTAGTCCAAAAGTCCTGAGCATCCTGCAACCATCGACTTTCCGCATGTCTTAACAGTCCTCCACTCCATCTGGCGGGGAGTGGCCGCCCTCAACGGTAACCTTCTGTCAGTAAATGGCTTTCTTCCCCGTCGCTGTGGGTCCCTCGGGCTATTGCTTTTACTTATTATAAACCGGCGCTTGGTGGACCATTTTCCCACCGGTTAGTAAATAGTGCTGTAGCCGTAGATGGTAAATCGCACTGCTTTAACGTAACAAAAGCATATTCTCTTGCCTTGAAGACGCCCTGATTATATTCGGACAGAAAGAAAGACTGATATATAATGTATTTGATTGGTCCATTTCCAGTTCAACTTATTGACTCATTGGGCTATATCGATTACGTGTATATAATTGGATTTATTTATTTATTGGATTATGACTAAGTTAAGTCATGCCTCCATAAATAAATATAAATAGCAAACTCCTCAGTAATCTTCGATTTGCGGATGACATACTCTTTTCCGAAACAGCATCTTAATTACAGAAAATGATTAATGAACTAAATGATGTAAGCAATACGATTGGCTTAGAACTAAATGCTACCAAGACTAAAGTCATGACGAACCACCATATTATACCAATAAGGGTCGATAACAATATATTAGAATACGTTCAAAGCTATGTTTACCTGGGACAACAAGTATCTTTCTCTAAGACAAGACACGAAGACGAGGTTAAAAGACGAGTTAACATAACCTGGAATAAATTCTGGAGCAATAAAGAAACCCTAAAATCAAAACTCCCTATAAAACTGAAGAAAAAAATAATGGATACATGTTTACTACCCTGCCTTACGTATGCCTGCCAAACATGGATATACAATAATAATACTAAAAACAAAATACAAGTATGTCAAAGAGCAATGGAAAGGAGTATACTAAATATACAAAGAAAACACAGAAAAAGAAACACAGACGTAAGAAATACAACAAAAATAATAGATGCTTTGGAACATTCCCAAAAACAAAAATGGAAATGGGCGGGTCATATTGCGCGTATGGACAAAGAAAAATGGACACAGAGAGTAACTAACGGGCAAGGACCACCAAACAAAAGGAACAGAGGTAGACCGGGAGAAAAATGGGTTGACGAAATAATAAGAAAAGCCGGTGAAAATTGGATCACGAAGGCAAAGGACAGACAGACGTGGAAAACAATGGAGGAGGCCTTCACCCGTTGAGGGGTCCGTAATGAATTATGTACGTAAACTGATCTGAAAATTTATTTTATTTAATATTTTGAAATTTATATAAAATTTAAAAATTATTCGATTGTAAATTATTAATTCTGATAATTATGAATTGTATTATTTTGTTATATGCATGCATAATTATGTAAATCGTAATCTTAAGATACTATTGTTCTTTTTAAGTCATTCATTATGGAAATAAAGAAGGCTATATTATATTGTCATGCCTCCGGCCTTTTTTATCTTTTTTATCCGTAATTTTTTCTGACCCAACATCAAAGGTGTCGTTAGTACTATCCTCTGTCTTCATTTTCGGGAGCGTTTCACAAACAAGCGGTTAATACTAATAGATTTTTTTATCAAAATAAAAAAATTATAAAATAAAAGAAAAATAATAAATGCGCTTCCGGCTGTACCAACACTATCTTAGTGAACAGACCATCGTAAATTTATTTTTATTCAATGATTATGTTACTTTTTTAATAAAATGCTTAAAAATCAAAAATTTGAATCCCCTTCTATGTATTTGGGTAACTGAATTTTATCATCATCATCATCATCATTACAGCCCTTCTCAAGTCCACTGCTGAACATAGGCCTCCCCCAATGTATGCCACAAAGCACGGTCCTGAGCCACCTGCATCCATCGATGCCGATTCCTGCATGTCTTACCAGGTCATCACTCCATCTAGTGGGGGGTCGCCCTACACTACGGCTACCGGTACGAGGCTGCCACTCGAGAACCTTTTTTCCCCAACGGTTGTCGGTTCTTCGAGCTACATATATGGCCGCCTTGCCACTTCAGCTTACTAATCCGTTGGGCTATATCGGTCACTCTGTTTCTACTGCGGATATCCTCATTTCTAAGTTTATCACGCAGAGAAACTCCGAGCATAGCCCTCTCCATAGCTCGCTGAGCGACTTTGAGCGTTCTCATACGGCCAGCAGTGAAGGACCACGTCTCGGTTCCGTAGGTCATCACTGGCAACACGCACTGGTTGTACAACTTAGTTTTCAGGTTTTGAGGTATACCTGACGAGAAGATGTGTCGTAATTTCCCGAACGCTGTCCAGCCGAGTTGAATCCGTCGATTGACCTCTCGGCATTTTATAACTATGCCGAATTCTAGACTTTTGTATAAAATTCTTTGTTAAGTGGTGTTTATAGGAGTCTGCCCCAGTTAAGTACCATCAACCCTGGTAATGGAGAATATCAATACTCAAGCTAACCTACTCTTCCTGGGCGCGGTCGCTCTGGCTGCCCCTCGTATTCTAGGGGGGGGGGGGACGAAATTTCACTCAAAAAGAACACTGCTTAAAAAACTAGCAGAACAACAAAACGAAGGCGACCCATGCCACGCAATCCATGAGCCTCTGCAACATAAAGGAACTTAACGAACTTGATCGACATCTCAAGCCGGCCTTGCTCTTGTATCTTTTCTACCTGGGGTACAAATTGAAACACTACTTTGTGCCTCAGGCTGACATTTGCGTAAGTATCAAAGAGTGTTTGTGTTCTCGATGCCTCGTCAGTCTCGAAGGTACAGACTTTGGCTGCGTATAGACAGCGAAAACCATCCCTGCGCCTATGGATATATCATCGACCACTTCTAAATGTACTGCAGGTTCTGTGCTACAACGGATCCTAACCGTAGAGATTGTGGTCCTTGGCAAGTTTAACGCATACCACGCAAACGTGAACCAACCCATTCATGGTTTGGTTTACGTTTAACCGATGATATAATTTGACACAACCGGTTATTTCACCTGCGTGAATCTCAGATGTGGAGGATCATGCACCTGCTCTGTTGGACCTTGTGCTAATTTTTAATCTGGATCAGGTCTCCGTTGACACCCCTCTTGGCTCTTCAGACTATTGTCTAATCCATACTGGTGTTACTCACGCTTCCATCCATATGGGCTGATTAGGACTGGATGCAGCCTCTTTTGCATCTTACTCTTATGGGCAAGCTTGCTTCTCGCCCAACGATCCCAACGTGGTAGCTGATTCTGTTGCTAATGTGGTAATACAGGCAATGGAAATTTTATTTCATCATCTGCAGTGCCCATCGAAGGCAAATCCTAGCCGTGGTTAGCTCGTTCCTGTACCAGGGGTTAGGTACTCAGGAGTGCTATCGGGCCTGGGCTGACGCGTCTGCGTACCAGGATACAAACACTAGCTCTCTTAAAAAAATATGATTCCACCTACAGTCTTTCAAAACAGTCATCATTGCCAAGTCAAAGTCAGAGCACATCGGAGCTCTTTCCTTCTGGAAGCCGTGCTTTCTGATCCAAATTACTGGCCAATGCCGCAAAAGAGAAAAAGTTGTTAAGAATTAAGGCGCTCAATAAAATAAAATGATGTCTCTTACCTAGTTTGAAGAGCACCTCCCGCCCTCCCTCAATTGCGTGCACTAATCCCATCACCACTAATCCCAGCACCACTACTCCCAACACCACTACACTACGAAAGACATGCCATTGACGATAACGTTTTTCGCCTCTACACGAGGCATCCTCAGGTGATGTAGACTTGGCTGAGGGAGGTGCTCTTCAAGGTGAGCGAATTAATTGTTAACAACTTTGATTTAAATGATTTCCGCAAAGTAACGCCTGATTCTATTGAATATCTTACAAAGGTCAAAGCTGATTTTTAGTCGATTTATAAAACTGACTCTAATTTTGCGTCTAATTCGCCTTCCGATGACGGTGGAATACACTGTCGATCATCCGACACTGTGGGTGCTCCATGACGAAAGTGCGGTTAACACAGCACTCGATGTGCAGAGCACTCTTTACGGACATCAACAAGTCGCAATGGCCTGATGGAGTTCCTCCTATTGTGCTGAATACATGTGCTCCAGAGTCGGCACTGGTTCTAACGTATCTTTTCCGTTACTCCTACTCTCTGAGTGTGGTTCCGAACTCATGGAAGACATCTTTAGTGCACCCGATCCCTAATAATGGCGACCGCACAGATCCCTCTAAGTACAGGCCTCAGACCGCGGTCAGACCATTTGCCATCTTTTTTATCGAAAATAATGGAATCCATTATAAATTGCCTGCCTATGAGGTATATTGAAGACCAATGATTAAAACTACTTTTACGGATTTTATCGCGTTTAATTTTAATTTTAATTATTTTTATTTCCCGATGTTTCAGGTGCTTTCCAGCACCCATGGTCACGGGGGACTGAGGTGACTAACGTCCAGATGTCATTGTTAAACCCGGAGTACCTTCAGCTTTTTTAAATTGTTTATGGGTATTGAAGACCATTTAGTGACCGCCAATACGGTGTACACCAGTGTCGCTCAGGTGGCTCTTCTAGTTTACTTGACTCATAAATTAGTGGAGGCAGTAGAGCCAAGAGAGGAGGCCTTCGCCGTTATTTTAGAGGTTTTCAATCGGGTGTGGCCCAAAGCGTTTCTTACGAAGCTTCCTTCCTGTGAGCTGCCTGAGAAATTGTGCAACTGGATTACCAGTTTTCAAGCAGATCCTGGACGGTCCATATTCCGACTATAAGCTTACTCGTATTAGTGCTGGTGTTTCACAAGGCTGTGTTCTATCACCTACGCTGTTTCTTCTGCATATCAATAATATGTTGCAACGCAGTGACATTCATTGCTATGCCGACGGCAGCATTGGTGGTGCTTGGACCTCTATGCCCTTATAGGTCCTGGATTCCTCTCCTTTTTAATGGTATTTCCGTTGAAGTTGTGTTTCTTACAGTGATAATAGTCGGCCCATGGTTGCAGGCGATGTCGGACCTGCACGTGCTGCTGTACTTGTGCAGCAATGAAGCGCTTCCGCTGTCGCTGGACACCGTACAACCACTGCTGCAGGCCGTGCGCGAGCGTGATGCAGCGGCTGCGGACAGCTGGCGCTTACAAACGCAGCCCGCCACGCTGCTGCAGCTGGCGCGCGCTGCTGCCGAGGCGGACGCGCCACACGGGTGAGTACACACACACGCACACACATACAAACAAACACACACACACACACACACACACACACACACACACAAAGATAGTAGGCGTGATGGTATAAGCTCGAGGATGTAATGTCTACGTCTTTGAAAATATTGTTGCAGTGCTGATGCGGGCGGAAGTGTGGATGGTGCGGGTGGTGCGGGGGGTGCGGGCGCGGTGTGGACGTGCGCGCTGTGCACGTACCACAACGCGGCTGCGCTGCGCGCCTGCGAGATGTGCGCCATGCCCAGGTGAGTCACCGCACACGCTCACCCTCGCCACACGCTCACTTGTGCTTCACGTGCAAAACTTTAGCTTTCTGTAAAGAGTATCTGTACGGTGCAACACCGTGCATTCTCCCGCGTCAGCATTTTAGTAATTTGACACTATGCGCGACTGACCTCATTCATTAATATTTTATTTTTGAGTGTGTTTGTGTTTGCTTACCAATACGGTCGCGTGACTCAATCTTATATTTTTACCAAGTTTCGTGTATTGTGAAATCGCAATAAATCATTGTTTTTCTCAAGATCGTGTTTAAATCATTCATCATCAGATCAAGTAAAAGGTGTGTGGTATACCAAGACCATACATCTTTATGGTCCTTCGAGGAAACTGATCAGTGTTTTGTGGATCTCAAGTGCAGTGCGATCGGTTCGGTTGGCCTCCCACCAGCGGGTATCACCAGCCGAATTGAGACGGCGCTCTACGTGTACTGAGTCTGCAAATATACTGAGAACCAGTAATAACACCAAGCACAAAACCGAGAATATCAAGAATACCACAAGCATAGCAAATTTGACGCATTCATCAAGCAAACCAAGCAAGCATTCACCAAGCAAACCAAGCAAGCATTCACCAAGCAAACCAAGCAAGCATTCACCAAGCAAACCAAGCAAGCATTCACCAAGCACACCAAGCCAACACTCTCCAAGCACACCAAGCATAAGCATTCATCAAGCACATCAAGCAGAAGGATTTCACAAGCAAAGCACAAGCATATCAAGCAAGCGTATCAAGGTATTTTCAAAAACAAGCAAAACAAGTAAGTGATTTTTTACCAAGGTTTTAACGTATCAACTCCTTCACCAAGTAATGTTAAGCATGGAAAATCTCCTAGCAAATCAACAACAAATTATCGATGGCATTAATCAAATATTTGTAAATTTTAAGAAAGATAGTCAAGAGCGAAAGACGCCCGACTATATTAATCGAAGATTGAATAATTTAGAAGGGTATTGGCAGGAATTCCTGAATAATCATGTTGAACTGTGCGCTTTTCCAGACAAGTCCCATGCTTATTTTACTAACAATACGTATGAAAAAACCAAGGCAAATTATGAGAATATAACAGCTACAATAAAAGCGTACTTACCGAAGCATTTAAAAGGACAGTTGCTAACATAAATCTTGACGATGTGACGGAGAAATGGGAGCTGAAAGATTTCCTCCGCTCTTTGCAGTTGCGATGGTCAGCTATCGACAGTCTGCACTGGGACATCGACAGTGAAGTTCAAGGAGCCAACCAAGAATATGAGAGCACTTTTTCATATTATGAACAACTATATAATTCCACCAAACGATCCATCAACAGCAAGCTATGGTCAGTGTCCCATCGGGAAAAATCACCCCCCAGATGGACATACCTGTTTTTGTAGGAAATTATCATCAGTGGACGTCATTCAAGGACCTGTTCACTAAACTATCCACAATAACCCATCATTATCAAACGCACAGAAAATGCAATTTCTTAAAGTTAAGGTGCAAGGCGAAACAGCAAGGCTTTTGCAGCATCTTCCGATCAGCACTGAAAACTATAATATCTGCTGGGAAATTCTTAACCACAGATACAACAACAAGAAACTCATTTTTACTTCGCACATCAACAGCTTATTGAATATTCCTGTCATACAACAACATCAAGCTATCAACCAGATCAAGCGACTTCATGACACCACTCTGGAGACACTCAACGCCGTGAAAAACTTAGGTGTTGATATCAGTACGTGGGATCCATTGCTGGTGCACTTACTGTCACATAAATTGGACAATGAAATATTCAATGATTACAATGAATCCCTAGAACAACCACGTGAGTTACCGACGCTCAAAGATTTTTTGGCATTCCTGGAAGGAAAATTCACTACGTTGGAAACATCCCGTAGAAAACAAGAACCAACCACGCAAAAACCATCATCAAGTCAGGTCCCGGTGAAGCATAATAAATCAAGATACCAAGTATTTTCCAACTACAATGTCACAGAACCAACAAATGCAAAAACAAGTAATCAGTTTACAATCACGTGCCCGCTCTGTAACAATGGCCATGGAATATATTTTTGCCAAAAACTTATAGCAATGACGCCGCAGCAGAGACGCAGTACCATATCAAGATTACGGCTGTGCTCAAAGTGCCTAAACCATCACCAAGGAAAGTGTATTTCTAAGAATCGCTGCCGCGAATGCCAAGGTCAGCACAACACAATATTGCACGAAGCATTCGTAACATCTAAAAACATGAAACAACCTAGCTCATCAAGAACGGTTAACCAGGGAAACTCATCAAGCAGCGCAGATGCTGTCCAGCAGAACCAGAACAGTGTGCACGTGTCACAGCAGCGCGACGTGCCAGAGATACTGCTCGCTACAGCTATTGTTCAAGTTCAAGCTAACAATGGCTCTTACTACAAGCTCCGAGCACTCCTGGACCAAGGATCCCAGACCTCAATTATCACGGAGAAAGCAGCTCAACTTCTATCACTACCTAGAAGTCAGTGTAAAGGGGTCATAACGGGGATCGGCATAAAGGAAAACAATTGTAAAGGCGTGATTAAGTTAACAATCAAGTCCAATAATAGCGACTTCACACTTAATACCGAAGCTCTCATATTGAAAACTCTGATCAATAATTTACCAAACTACACCTTGGACAAGCCGTCATGGTCATTCCTAGAAAATATACAGTTAGCAGATCCAGAATTCTACAAAAGTCGGCGGGTAGATATACTTCTGGGAGCAGTAGTATATCTACCCGCATGAGCAGTATACTCAAACATCATCTTAGACGGAATTTGCAGAGAACACAATAACTCGCCAATCGCCCAACAAACGCGATTTGGTTGGATATTAAGTGGAAGCGCTAATCAGGTTACTTTACAGTGCAATGTTTTGCTGAATAATATACAAAACATCCGACAGTTTTGGAAGATCGAGGACATTACTCAAGAGTCTACTCTCACGTCAGAAGATCAAGCATGCATCGATTTGTATAAATCAACAACCACAAGACGCGAGGATGGAAGATACCAAGTGAAACTTCCCCTTAAGTCAAACATTGAACAAGACTTGGGCACATCGAAACAAAAAGCAATTGCGCAATTCAAACAATTGGAACGACGATTCACAAAACAAAATAATACCGCAGAACATTATAAATTATTTATTCAAGAATACTTATCATTGGGTCATATGAAACCGGCTACCGGTAACAAGAAACCGGACTTTTATATGCCGCACCATTGTGTCGAGCGCCCGGAGTCAACAACTACAAAAATCAGGGTTGTATTTAATGCCTCGGCAAAAACTTCGATAGGGTTGAGCCTTAATGATCTTATGCACAGGGGCCCAAATCTACAACAAGATCTCCAAAAATTAATTTTGGAGTGGCGTCAATACCAGTTTGCATACACAGCTGATATAGAAAAAATGTTTCGCCAAATTTGGCTGAAAGAAGAACACCAACAATACCAAAAAATAATATGGCGAGATGACCCAGAAGAACCATTGCAGGGATACCAACTCACTACAGTCACATATGGCACCAAGGCCGCGCCATATTTGGCAATGATGACACTGAAGCAGTTGGCAGATGATGAAGAAAAATACTACACCAAGACTCAAGCAGCTTCAGTTTTACGGAATAGCCTGTATATGGATGATGTAATCCATGGCTGTTATTGCGCTGACCTTGGAAAAAGGTTGAAGGACGACCTCATCAAGCTATTAAAAGCTGGTGGCTTTAATCTCAGGAAGTGGTCATCCAATATTCCAGCGGCCATTGTGCGCCATGAATGAAGACCCAGACAACCTGAACTATTTGACGCCAGCACACTTCCTAGCAAGTGGACCTGTGTTGACGATATTTGATACAGAGCAAGATCTACGAACAAGATGGTACCTTTGTCAAAAAATGTATAACGACATATGGAAACGATGGCGTTCAGAGTACTTGACCCAACTAAATGTACGCAGTAAGTGGCAAAGGGAACAAAAAAATATCAAGATCAACGACGTCGTGCTCGTCCACGAAGACAACTTACCTCCAGGACGGTGGGCTATGGGGCGCGTCGTCGAACTTCATCCCGGTTCTGATGAGCAAGTGAGAGTGGTCACACTGAAAACCAAGAATGGCTATCTCAAAAGGCCGGTCGTGAAATTATCGCTACTACCTGTAAATCAAGAGTCAGATGGCAGCGATAATAACACAAACAAACCATCAACAATCAAGAACGATCAACATACAAGAGCGCCTCAATCGGTTAAGAAACCTCAAGTTCATTTCTCGTCGCTTGCGTTGGCTATGCTATTTTTCATGAGCATACTTACCACATCATCATGTTCTTTTCTTAACACACCTCTGAAGTCGAACCAAGGAATATATTTTGACAAAGTCTCTGACATGCAAGTAATTAGAGACGAATGGACCATGGTCGTCTATTATGACATGAGCCCCTACTGGCAAGGGATGAAGAAATTTGAACAATATTCCAATTACTTGCAAGAAACATGCGATAAATTACAAGAAGCCCAATGTAACATTATACTGTGGCAACTACGTCATAGTTACTCCGAGTTCCAGCATTATAATACTATTTTGATGACACAACATTCCCGCACGCGCTCGCGCCGCCGCCGAGGACTGATAAACGGAGTCGGCAGTATCGCGAACTCATTATTTGGAATTTTAGACGAGAATTTTGCTCAAAAATACCAAAAAGACATAACGCTCATCCGTGATAATCAGCAGCATCTGGCAAACTTGTGGCGAAATCAAACCTCTATAGTCGAGGCGGAGTATAACTTACTTAAAAGGAGTGAAGAAGCTATGAACAGGCAGCATAAGTTAATAAACAAACAGATGCTAAATATAGAAAGGGCCGTGAACATATTAAACTCAGAGGTTGTCAACATGTCTCAAGCGAATCAATTAACTTTGGCACCCGTAGCTGCAAGCAATATGGTACAGGAACTA